GATCGGTTGGAATGATCATTTGGAATGATCATTCGGAGTGACCATGTGAAGCGATCATGTGAAATGATCATGTGAAGTGATCATGAAATGATCGTTTGTGATTATGAAAATATCTAATCACAACAATATTTTATTAATAAATTTATTTAGTATTTTATTTTTTAATTATAATTATATATTAATTTTTTATAAATAAAAATCTTATTTTTAAAAATAAAATATATTTTATTTTTAATAAAATTTAAAATAAAGATTTTTTATTATTTAAATATAAGATTTAAAGTTAATTAAGTAAAAAAATTATAATAAGTAAGAATAATTTATAAATTAGTATTTTTTGATTATAATATAAGCTTTTTTATTTAAAAAGATATTTTTTATATATAAAATCAAAAATATATTAATTATAAAATTTGTATTATAATCTGATACAAAATATTATTAATAAAAAATATTTTTTATTTTAAAATTTAAATTTTTTTATTAAATATAATATTTAGATTATGTAATTTCATAATTCTGTTAGTCATTATATATTATATATATTAATATATTTGTATAATACAAATTTATAAAATTGCATATTCACAGAAAAAATATTAAAATTTATTTTTTTAAAAAAAAATTTATTAAATTCAAATAGTTTATTTTATTTAAAATTTTGTTGAAAATAATAAAAGAATAAAAATAATATAATTAATTAGATTAAATTATATTTTATTTAATATAAAAAATTTTATAATTATAATTAAAAAGTTTTATTTTTTTGATATATTTATAGTTTTGTACTGAATTATATATTAATATAATTATAAAATATTAAATTGGTATAAATATTAATTTAAAAAAACTATTATTAAGTATTAAATTATACAAAATTAACTAATAAATTATGAAATTTAAATATTAAAAAACAATAATTTTTCAGGAAAATATCCAGAAAAAACTAGTTATATTAATTAATAAATGATCTAATTTTTTAATTTTTTTTTATGAAAAATCTGGATAAAAATTTCCTGAGTTTTTTTATAAAGTGAAGTAAGCCTATTTGCTATCATAATAACAATCACCAGATTATAATTGATCAATTAAATCACAGAATTATGTGATTAACCAATCAAATTGCAAAATCAAAGTGTAATGCCAAAATTCAAAACAAATCAAAGAAAATACTCTTTTAAAAAAATAATCTGTATCTTGAATTTTTGCCTATGAAACTGTCTAAAAAAATATTTATTGCAATATTAATTCAATTGAATGAAAATTTGTAGATATATACACACCCCTACAATATATTACCGGAAATTTCAAAAATGAATTTGTCACTTTGGAACCCGATATCTCGATATCCGGTGATCCCATTCGAACAAAGATTTCACCATTAGAATTGTCTCGACCATACGAATCTAATGGTGATATCTTTGTTCGAATGAATCACCAGATGTCGAGATATCGGGTTCCAAAGTCACAAATTCATTTTTGGGATTTCCGGTAATATATTGTATGGGTGTGTACACAATCACATTCCGAACAACTCTATTTAAGACGCTAAATACAAATGTCAGTAAAAATAAAAGTTATTAACGAAAAAACTATTTTACGATTTTCGGATCAAACCCGAACCGATCCGAATTTATCGGATCGGGTTGACCTCAAACCCGACCCGAACAGAGCTTTAATATAAGAATCATTACAATATTAAAAAAATAAAAAATATTATAAAAATTAGAAAAATAATCTAACGCTAATAAAAATAAAAATAAATTATATATATATATATAGTCATATTTGCTACATTTAGGAACAGTTGATTCTGGCTCGTGATTTTTATGATTTTGATTGGACGAGAACTTGCAGATATTAAATTTTGTATTAACCAGTTTTAAATAGCGAAAAAAGCGTTGATTTGGCCAATTGTTGCCTCTGCGATTGCGGCTATTAATGTTCTTGCTTTTGCTGTGGATATATGAAAAATATTAAAGGAATGTAATGAATGAAAAGTTTAGGTGCTTTCCTATCGCGTGCATTTTTTCGATTATCGAGTAATGAGATGAATCGTGGAAGTACATGTATTTGCAGATTAAATGAAATTTATATTAAACACCCCATCAGTTTACGCAATAACACGTGTACAAACGTCGAACGCGAAAACTCGCGACTAGTAATGCAAGGCCATTGAGTCAGTACGCAAGAGACTTCGATCGAGATTTAGTCGATGCTATCACACCAGTTTACCAAAACCAAAGAACATGCCGGAAAAAGCAAGGGTGTGCCCGATATATGGTAGGAATGCCATAGGAATGTGCCAATTAGGCATAATAAATAGTTTTTTTTGGGACAAAGATCGTGGATGGTAATGCCACGAGCGATAATAGTTAAACAAACGCCTACGATCTACTTTGCACCTTAATATGCAACAACACCCCGCCAATAATAAATTCACATCAATCGGTCTTCTCGAGAAAATCCATTATCAAAAAGAGAAAGACATCGCTTTTGTAATTAACACTTTATAATTAAAAAAAGGATTTCGCAATTATCGCTATTGTAATTCTTTAATCACCATTGTAATACTTTAATCATATAATTAAAGGATCTCGCAATAATTGTCATTTCGTCCACGATATGTACTTTTCAACACATGGAAAATTCATATCGATATTGATATAGTATATGTATTGACAGGTTACACTGTCGCACTCAATGACAAAAGAAAGAGAATAACGGTAGAGTATATGCTTTATTCTGTCCCATGCACATCCGTGCATATTATGGAAATTAATTGCAATGTCATATTACAAGTCGTACGTATTGGTAGAGTTTTATCGGTTTCTGAAACACTTTATCATACACACTACATAAAAAAATTCTTTTCCCTGTCTATTGTGGGAAACGAAAATCTATGCTTTAATTTGTGTCGTATATATGTATATGTACATGATTTTATATTAAAAATATCAATCAATCAATCAATTTCTGATCCTGAAAAATAAACCCCTAAACTACATGTACATATAATAAACACACATATATATTCAATATATTCATAAATTAATTACTGTAACAAGCCATTTTTTTTCGATAATTTAAAGAATAAGGTATAGCTGATAAAGTTTGATTTTAAAAAGCGGGAAGCAGGGTTTGATACTTTGCTTTTTTTGTTATTCACAATCTAACTAATTTGAGACAAACTTTCTTTGAATTTTTATTTACATACTTTGTATGAAGATAGTTAGTTATATTAGATAATATAATTAAACGGCCATTTTGTCTATGGATAGTGGTGGTAATATGCGTCAAAATGGAGTCAATCGTCGAGTTGCTCCAATAGTAGCTACGAAAAATAACATCAATACCAATACCAATACTAATACCAATACCAAGACAGCCACTAACGACAGCACTTTTACTTCAACAACAAAAACTACAACTGCAAATTCTGCTTATAATAGAAGATCCTTGCCACCACCACCACTACCTATGAAACCAAAACATTCTAAATTTGCTAATCCTGCTATATTGCCTGCACAGAGAATGGATGTTGAAGTAGACTCTTCGTCGTCGGCTGCTGTTGCTTTTGCGATTACCTCGGCAAAAGTGCTGCCAAAGGTCCCCGGGGGTCGTGGTGCAAATGTAAATAGAATATCACAATTATTTGAGAATAATGCACTCGAAGAATTTCAGCTATCACAGCAGCAGCAGCCACAACAACAACAACAACAACAGCAACAACAGCAGCAACAGCAGCAGCAACAACAACAACAACAGAAGCAACAACAACAACAACAACAGAAGCAGCAACAACAACAACAACAGAAGCAGCAACAACAGCAACAGCAACAACAACAACAGAAACTCTTACAACAAAAAAGACTGCAACAGCAATTACAACTGCCACAACAACTACAGTCATCTGCACCTGTTTTAAGATCCCGTGTATCTGCTCCTTCAATGTCTATAAAAAATAATGGTAATAATGCTACATTGCAAAAATATTCAAGTCTTACGAAACTTCAACCACAGCCATCTCTTCAACAACGAAAAATATCAGGCGATAATATTAATAGCAGTAGTCATAATAATATACTGGCTGAGCCACGTGGAAAGATCATTGCATCAGAAAATACTGGGATTGATGAGTCGAGTTTAAACTATAATGATTTAAAAGCGAGATTTCAACGAAATGCTATGTCAGAAAGAGGTGAACCAGCGGTAAGCATTTATATTAAAAATTAAAAACATTTGCAAATAATTTTTTATTTTTACTTAACCTTTTATTAATGATGGCGGAAAAATAAGCCTCCTCCTCTGCCAAAAAAGCGAGCAAACCGGAATAATACCATCGCATTAATACAAGATGTTTCTGCATCATCATTACCACGGAACCAATTAATTATACCCTCGGCATCTTCACCGTCCTCATATCAAAATAATGTTACTCCTAACGCAAATTCACGTAATATAGTAATGAAACCAAACATTTCTGCAGTCTCAAGATCTTCACCCTCTATTGAAAAACCAGATCCATTTGCTGGATATGAAGTAGACGACGATAGTGATTATGACCTAAGTGGGAATAGTAAGGATTGGGTCGATGTTACTGATTATACCTACGAAGAAGAAAGTACGGAACATAATGGCAAATCTAATAAATCTTCTTCACAATCTGGTGCCAAAACCTCAAAATTAAATCCTACACGATGGGGTAGAAGCATGTCAACTGGGAATGCACAATCATCGAAAAGAAATAATTATTCTAATCCTGATTCTAGCTCTTCTATTGAGGAAAAACTTTATCATAATCATAGTAATATTTCCGGGTCAACATCACCACCGCTACAGAGTCATGACGTGGATTCTTCATCATCATCTGATAGTATAGATACAAAATATACAAGGCCAATTAATCAAGTGCGGTCTTTAGCTAGAAATCATACTACTGGTGGAATAGATCTTCTGCAAAGGCAAAGGCGATCATATAGCGAGAACTCGGAGTATAGCATTGGAACAACATCATCATCTATAACATTGGTTGAAGAAGATGAGCAAACACGAGAGTCAAAGCGAAGGCGAAAATTATGGAATTCTATTAAAGAATTAGTAGACACGGAAAGAGTTTATTTGGCTGATATGAAGCTATTAGAAACGGTACTTTTTTTTTGAAGAAAATAATTTAAGTTGATTACCATTTTCATTTATCAATCTAATGATGTTTATTATTAGGTATATTATACGCAAGCAAAAGAAATTCCTATATTCAATCAGTATGATTTGAAAACGATATTTAATAATTTACCAGAAGTTATCAATTTTTCTTCAACGTTTTTGGAGATGCTGTCTAAAGCTGCCGGCATTGAAGATTCTGAGACAGATGATGTAGAAAAACATATAGTCGAGGAGAATGATGATACGTCAATAGGAGAAAAATTTTTGTTTATGGTATGTGTTTCATGTCAGAAACTAAAAAAGGTTGTGGCATTAATAATTTATTTGGTTGGTAGCTACGTAATACAAAGACTGCAGAAAATTCTAATCTAATGGAAGAAGTATATGGAGAATATTGTAAACGACATGAAGCGTCGGTAGCCAAATTACAAGAGTATGAAAACGATGAAGATAAACAAAGTTTTCTCCAGGTCTTTTTCTTTATATATTCAAAATATTTCCTATTGAAAAATATTCAAAATCTGACATTGATTTTCTCTCCTATTATAGAAATGTAAAGAACAATGCGAGGGACAAACACGAAGTTGGGATATATCTAGCTTATTAATTAAACCGGTGCAACGCGTACTCAAATATCCATTATTATTGCATGTAAGCATACTATACCTTAATAGCTCAAATTTTACGCTAGAGGTAAAAGTTGTGTGTGATATAAGTAGCAAATAAATGTTAACCGAATTTTCGCGGTTTTAGCAAATATTCTCGCTGACGAAACCCACGCATCCTGACTTTAAAAACTTGAAAGAAGCGTTCAGCGAGGTTACTATGGTCGCCGAAAGAATCAATGAAATTAAAAGACGGAAAGATATCGTGGAAAAAATTGTCGGAAGTAAAAAGAAAACGGATGCAGATGTAAGTTTCTTAATCTTCTGGCACTCGCATTGTTATTAAACTTTTTTTGTTTGATTATTTATTAAGGATCAATTTTTCATATCTTTTTTTGTTTGGATTATGTCGATGATAGATTGTGTAGGTTCTAATTCACATCATATTAGTTGCTTCTGCTTCAATTTGATCATACAAAAGGCAATTGTTTTATTTATTCTATTTTATTATAGACATGGAATAACAAAATCATTAACAAGGCGCGCTCAGACAGTATGTACTTTATCGTTATTCTTTTCATTCGTACTATTTATTATAACGATGCTAAGATTAATATCAAAAATTTATTCAGATAAAACACGTTACTGGAATTGCCAAAGCCACCGAAGATCAATTTTATGACGCATGCGTAAAGAAATTCAAAAAATGGGAAGGACAAGGACAGAAACTTTCTAAAGATATCCGAGAATGGTTGAAAAGTGTAAGGCGTATGTAAAGCATCGATCTTGTTATTGTTGCTCTATTTAATACTCGCAGCAAAATTGATAGTAATTAGATTAATAACAAACTTTATTCAAATACACATGCAGTATTTTTTGAGCAGCAAGAAGAATTTGCTTCTTCGCTTTATGATTTTTATGATTGTTGCATGTTAGATGACGAGCAAAAAAAACGGCCGACTGAGTATCGAAAAATTGTGGCTGATCTTGCCTCGTGTGGAAAAGAAATGGTTAGTGCGATATTTTAAATTAGTGTGAAGAGGTATTTTAAACTCATTGGAATAAATCCGTGTCCATTGTACTGAGATGTTAAAAGAATACTTTATCCACCTCATTAAGCATTATCACATGATTTTTAACCAATAATAATATAGGAATTTTCAAAATTCATTGGTTAAAAGTCTTGTAATAAGGTCCATTGACCAACACTGAACTGCTTTGTTAGAGTTCTTTATAATCGAGGCCGTTAAAATTTTGATTATTCAATTTTATTCCCTGTATATTTGTAGGAAGAAGCAACCAAGAAACTATTGCCACGAATTGATTCATTTATGGAGCTGTTTAAAGCGCCAGCAGCGGTGATGAGAAAGCGCGACAGAAAAATTTTGGATTATGACCGAGCAAAGGCGATTAAAGCACGAGGCGATACAGTCAGTATTTGTATACAAATTATTGCCCAAACCATTTTTAACCTCATCACATAAATAAACAATATTAATCCCAAAATAACAAACAAATAGCCGGACAAAACCTTACAACAATCAGCAGCAGCATTCGAATCAATACGAGACCAACTACAAGAGGAATTACCGAAATTTTTCGAGCTCATGGGTCGATACTTCGACATAATCTTGCGCGAATTTTCCGAAATACAAGCACGATTTTATCGACAAATGGGCATGGAATTTTCCCAGTTTTTCTACAAGTATATCGATCCAGAGGCATTGGAATACGTGTCGGATGATCGGAAGTTGGTGTTACGTAATATTGATGTTCAAACAGAGTATTTGGCTGCTTTTTTGGGTATGGATGATAAGCTGGAGAAGTTTGTGTTGATTGGGAATCATGGAGGTAAGATTCCTATGTATCTATTTATAGTCTACTTGTTTGCGATGCTATTGTCCAATAGAGAATTTTTCGAAATATGTGAAACGAGAATCTCGAAACTACAAAAATCTGTGACAACCCACAGTAACTGCAACCCGGCACATGACAATAATTAAAGGTTAATTTTAGGGCTAGGATTAGAGTGAGGGTCAATGTTATAATTTCCTCCCCGACGTTTTTGATTAGTGTTCCGAGTTAGATTTAGGCATCTGTTTCCCGTATTTTTTGCACGTATTTATTTCTGGTGTCGGATTTGTTTGCCGGGCTGATCAAAAATTTACACATCATTATTGTTTGTGTTAATGCGGGTAGGCACAGATTTTAAGAGTGCGAGAATCTCGAATTACAAAAAGTCTACAAAGCAATAGCGAAAAATACACGAGATTCTGGAAGAACAAAAAATCTCGGGATTTTTTATTAGAATTGATGACAGATTTTTTATATATGGTTAAGAGAAGTACTTATATAAATCTTTTACTTAGTTACAGAGTCGAATTCCAAAATAAAACCGAAAAAAGAGTCGGAGGCTAGACGTGGAAGAAGTTCGAGCCTTTCAGATTCTTACTCTACACAAGATTCCGAGTCATCGAGGCGGCCAGGTAAAACATTGCATCGATCAGGTATTTATGCTATACAAAATTATTAATAATATTATCCTTGCTTAACTTTACTTAGCACCTCAACATATTTATTTATTTATTTTAACTTTATTTACTTTATGTTCTTGTATCAGTATCACAAGATGGTCGTTTAGCTGTCAAATTTGAAGAACATTCATCGCATACACGTATGTTTCGAGTATTTGTTTCTTTAAATGCGTAAATGCTTCTATACTAATTTACTATATTGATGTTTTTAGAACGAATGTCATACCATTCTAACTCGTCATTATCTTTATCCGATGATATACGAAAGTCTTGGAATGTTGATGGAACTTCCCCTTTTATTGAGGATAATAATCCATTCGACGTTAGTACTGGTCAAATTTATGACGATCCCGAGCGAATAAATGGTCATCGAAAATATGCAACCGATAGTGCACTAACCTCACTGCGTCACACCTCTCAATCAACAATAGTTGCTGATGACGAGGACTACGAATTCGCCGGTAAAGTTAACATTAGTAGATACGAAGACTATGCATTTATTGGAAAAGATAACACCATTATCATAACCGCAACTAACACGACCACCAATACCACGTATGACAAAACTATCGAGGATGAAGACGAAGACGACGAGGAAGAAGTGTATCATGACACGCGAACCGGCGAGGAAGAGGAAATAAACGGTGAGGAAGGGGGGAAAAACGTTGGTGACAAGGTTTTATTTGTGTGTTACGCACTGAGACGACATAAATCAAAAGATCCACGCCAATTGTCGTTTAAGGTTAATCAGCCACTTGAAGTGACTCATATACACGAGGAAGAAAAGAACCTTTGGTGGCTTTGCATTAATATGGATACTGGCGAGCGAGGATGGGTCGATCCTAAATTTTGTAAAAAATTTGACGATTGATTGATTGGCATGATTCATTAAGTGCTGTGTGGCATGTCACATGTAAAATACATAAACTTTATATTTTTTGAGGTGTTGGACAATTTTTATCGTTATTTATTTACAATCATTATAATCATTATACATGTTTTTTTATATATATATATGTTGTACATGGAAATGGAATGATATATCTTCGGAACCCATATATACATATATGGATTTAGAATCCTTTGGCCAACACTAATCTCCCAGCACTAACCCTTACCCTTACCTTAGCACTAGTTCAAATTTGGGCCAATTCCGGAATGTACAACATATACATATTCATTTTTATTTAAAAATACCTTTCCTTTGTCTAATTTAATCTTGTAATATTTTTCTACTAATTATAATTATCTATATATTATTTTTTATTTTCATAACGAACTTACCCTCTTTCGATTTGTAAAGTTTCATATCTAATTTTGATTTTCCCCATGAAAGAAGAGTTTCACAGTTAATTATTTAGCGATCATTGTATCACTACTATACAAAATAGAATACAAAAAACAGTTGTGTTATCGATTCTAGTCAATAAAATAAGGTAAACACTGCTGCGTGAAAACGAAACATACAAGTGTTACGCTTTGATGGATCTGCATGTTCCACAAAATTATTGGTGTTTCGCGCAACCAATAAGGATGCGCAATTTTTGATCTGTCGGTAGCACAGACCATTAAAAATGTGCAACTTTTCGACCAAAAATTTGCACATTCTTATCCCAAAGATTTTTTGTGTAAATTACTTAATATGAGCATTGGAAAATGTTAAAGCTAAAAGTTGTTTTTAAAGTCAAAATCAAATTATATATAAAATTACCTTTTAATATTTTGATTAGTACATCAAGCTAACTTGATGTACTACTTAAAAACATCAAAAAGACAATTTTACATATATAATTTTATTTAATTTTTAGCTCTAACATTGATTCTGATCTTAAATTCATTTTAGTATTAATTAATATTAGCTGAATACAAATAATTTTTCAAAAATTTAACATATTAAAAAGATTATATATATATGTAGTTAAATTTTCCTAAATACAAGTTATTAAAAGATAGAAAACTCAGACATAATATGTATTTAAGAGAAAAATTGTATTTATAGTGTAAAATACTTTTAAGTTTATAGAAAATAAATATAATATATATATTTAAAGAGATTATATTTAGAAAAATCTAACTATATATATTATATATTTTGTAAAACATGCAAATTCATTAAAAATGCAATACAGTCAAATTTTTATTCTTGAAAAAGCAAATTGAATAATTATAAAAAAATATAACTATAGAGGAATGTTTTATTATATTTATATATAAATAAAAAATATAATATAATAAATATAGAAAGATATAATTTATAAATAAATTAATTATTTCTTAAATTTAGTAAACAAATTTGTTTGCTAAAATTCCATAAATTTATATCTAATATATTTTTATCAAAATTTAAAAAATATTTGTTTAATATTAGCTTTAATTATATATTATATGATAGTTATTTTCACTTTTTTAATAATTATAAAAAATTATAGTTATTAATAAATTAAAATTAAGTAATTTTAAAAAATATTTATTATTAATATTAAATTTCAATAAATAAAAATTATAAATTTTATATTATATTAATTAAAAATATATTATATTTTTATTTTAGTTTAAAAAAAGAGTGAATGAGTTAAGCTTATAAAAATTAGAAATAAATATATAAAAATAAGCTAAAATAATTTAAATAATTTAAAATATAAGAAATTTAACTATATTTAAATTAATTATTTGTAGATTTATTATATATTAATTATATATTTATATATACAATTAATATATAAAGTAATAGTGAATATGTTTTTTATTTATAATTTAATAAAAAATTACTAAAAATTTGATATTATATTCTTTAGAATAATTTTTTATGATTATAAAGTGTATTAATATAGTAATATTTTGTAAAATTATATACTAAATATAATGAAAATTATTTTGATTAAAGAGCTATAAAAAATTATTTAAAAATATTTTTATAGCTCTTTAACCAGAATAGTTTTTATTATATTTAGCATATAATTCTACAAAATATTATTATATTAACACACTTTGTAATCATAAAAAATTTTGTTTTTATTATTCTAAAAAAATATAATGACAAATTTTTAACAATTTCTTATTAAGTTATAGGTAAAAAATATGTTTATTATTACTTTCTATATTGATTATATAATAATTAACAAAATTATAAAATTTTGTATATTGTTATATATTTTTTATTAATTATAAAATTAATTAATAAATATAAACAAAATTTAAAAATAAATATATAAGAAAAATATAAATTAAGTAAAATTTTAATTCTAAATAAATATTATTTTAATTTTTTATATCAATATTACATATATCAAAACTAAACAAATAAATAGTATTATTAAAAATAATAAGAATTTTTTACTTTATTTTTTTATATAACTTATAATTATTAAGTACTATATTATTAATAATTTTTATATAATGATTATTACATAGTATTTTTATATATATATAATAATTTTTATGTGAATCAATAAATATATAGCATATAGATTTTAGTTTAATAATAAATTATACTTCTTTTATATAAGATATTATAGTAATTTTCATTTAAAGATTATAATACTATTATTTTGTTATCTATTGATTATACTTTTTGTAGTTCTTATATTATTATATAATAATTCTTATTTAATTATTATAATAGTGCTTTTTTTGTTGCTTATTGAGCTAACTCAAAATAAAAATTTCAGAAAATAATTTTTATTTTATTAAAAATTATAATTTTGTAATTTTTATAATTCAATATTTAATTATTTACAATTTGTTATTTTATTCAATTATTGAAAAATGCTAAAATAAAATAAGTATATTAGATAATATTTATCAGTTATCAAGAAATATTAAAAAAATATCAAGTTAAAACTTGATAAAAAAATATTAAATGTTGAGTCTGAGTATAATAAATTAAGTTTCGATATTATTTTACTAGAAAATAATAATAAATATATTAAAAAAAGCTTGTTAAAAATGCAAAATAATTAGATATATAAATAATAAAAGAACAAAAATAATTTTATATAGACTTTGCTCTTTAGTATCTCTTATAATAAATACAATTAAATTTCTTTATAATTATTACTCTCAGAAAAGCAAAATTTGGTGATTATAGAAAAGATGTAACTATAGAAAAATTTTTTATTATATTTATATATAAATAGAAAAAAAAATAGAATAACTATAAAGGGGTATAATTATAAATGAGTGTGACTATAGAGAGATTTGACTGTAGTGTTGAAATTTGAGATAATAATATTCACTTTTATTATTTATTTATTTTTATTTATTTTAATTTGATTGAATTTTGCAATTATTGACAAAAATACTATGCTATATATATAATTAGAACAATCTAGACTTAATTATTTATTATATTTTTATCATGTATTTTTTGTTTATAATTATTTAATTATTATTTATTAATTAATTAATTAAATTAATTAATTTTTATTTTTATTTAATTAATTATATAATTTTACAGGAGCTCAATTTTTTTAAAAAATAAAAAATGTTATAATCTAAATATTCTATAACATAATTATTTTATTAATAATAGTAATTATAAAAAAGATGTGATTATATTGTTATCATTTCTGTTAGTTTATTAACTTTTAAGTATAAATCACGTATTCTTTATATGTCTTAATTAAGTGGAAGAGTTATTAAAGATTTTTATATGTTTAAAATAATTAAGATTGGAAAAGACTAATTTAATAAAGCTAGATAATGATATGTTCATTTTGTTGAACTGCTAGAATAAGCTCAGAAATCTTCTTTTAATTCAAATAATTTAATTATTAAGTAATCTTCTTTTATTGATTAACTTTTAATAAAATTAT